ATGACTTAAAGGTCTTAGTTACTAGGTCATAAAACACCCTAAAAAAAAAGAATTTAAGCATGTTCCATTTGTGATTCTAAGTATTAATCTCAAAAGTAGAGGCGACGCGACGTCGCTTTAAAATTGGAACGCTTTGAAATCGCTTTATATCAAGGATCAGGGCCTTCGCTCCGACGTGTGGCTCGGTCGACATGCGTTTGGCGTGACCGACTCGGGGAACTCGCCATTAAAGATATTTATGGAGCTGATACAACGAACCCTTTCTCCGAAAAGAAATCCGAGTACACGTGTACCTAGTTCATAAATTTTCGGAGCTGACACATTTTCGGTTTGGCCATTTCGCTCCTGTAAATTATTAACGCGATTAAGAATTAAAATATGAAGATACGATAGGAATTTAACACGCGGTACAAGGTAAGTCGTTTTTTTATTTATTTATTTATTTAGCTAATCTGATACGGTTTTTTTTAATGCACGGAACCAGCTTGCTTTGATTCTTCAATGAAGCTGAAGTCTGGAGTGGCTGGAGACAAGACGCGCTGCTAGAGCAGATGAATAAGACACGAAAAACCTAAATCTGGAAATCCCGCTTTCCACCAGCCTCTATAAATTGTATTAAAATGATGTCTTTTAACGTAATGCCTATTTGGCCCTACGACTGGCCATACTATTTTAAACACAATATCCCATTGAACAAAGAGATCAAACAATGGGATTAATGTACCATAAACGTCCTCAAAGAGACCTGTACGTGAAAAACGATCATTTCCTTCAGAGACTTCTCCTAAAATCTTATTGAGGTCGAATTAATAAATAATGTGCATTACAATGAAAAGTAACAAATCTTGATCTTCGTTTTTATGTTCCTTCTGGGCAATTGTTCGCAGTTTCATCCCAGGGTACGGCCTGTTTATAGATAGGTGAAGTCACGACTCCCCAGGTGCTAGGTGATTTCGGAATCTCAGCTTTATTGTAATCCTAATATCATTAGGCGGTATGTTACTACCCGTGCGAGCCGGCAATACAGTCTAACAGCGTTTTTTTTATTGCTTACATGGGTGGACTAGTTCGGGTTCAAAATAGCCTGTAGGTTTATCCAATGATATTATATGCTTTGGAAAACCTTTTAGTTTTTAATTTACCTTATCCCACTAGGTGGGGTCAGCACAGCTAATTTTTCTCTTCCATTCTCCTCTATCAGCCGTCATCTCAACACTCATTCCTCTCTCTCTCTCATATCGTCATTCACACACTCCATCCATGTCTTCTTCGGTCGACCTCTTCCCCCTCTACCTTGCACTACCATTTCCATACATCTCCTAGTCACATGCATCTTCTCTCTACGCATCACATGTCCATACCACGCTAACCGTCCGCTCTTTAATTTTGTTAATTACATTCTTCGGACAATAAGCCGTAATATATCTCAACGCAGTTTGATATTCATGGTCGCCATAATTTATGGGCAAAAGCCATCAAAACAACATTAGTTACGATTCTAGAAGGGGCCATACTTGTAGTAAATTACCTTATTATGTGTAATAATATAGGACGGATTGGGCGATTCTCAAACTGTGAACTCGCCCTGTACGGTAATACATAGTTTCAGATCGTCAGAGCTGGAGCCCATAGACCGCAACGTCAGTTTCGCTACTCATCTTTATGTACCTTTAAAGCTGGAATGCATGACTTTTGCGGAAAGAAATAAGAAAACACAGCTACTCGCGTGGCATCACAATATCTCTTGCTGCTAATAATTTTGTATTTTTTTTTGCTTTTAACCGGCCTTAAATAATAATCTGATTCTTTTTATTGTTTAAATGGGTGGACGAGCTCACGGCCTACCTGATGTTAAGTGGTTACCGGAGCCCATAGACATCAACTAAGTAAACGCCGCCATCTACCTTGAAACATGAGTTCTAATGTCTCAGTTTTTACAGTACAACGGCAGCCCGGCCCTTCAAACCGAAACGCATTACTGCTTCACGGCAGAAACAGGCAGGGTGGTGGTTCGGTACTTACCCGTGCGGACTCACAATACGTTCTACCACCAGTGATTTAGGGCCTATTAATTTTATGTTTTTATGTATGCTCACTATGCTCCTTATCCAAATGCTCCATATATAATTATGTACAAAAAATATTGCCCCCAAGTGATGCTCGGCTTTGTAATCTCACTGGATAAGATAAGACCGGATATAATACCGGATATCTATTTTTTTTGTCCTTGTAGGCAGACGAGCATGTTGTCCATCTGATGGTGAGTGATTACCTTCGCTCATGGAGGTCAGGAATGCGAGGGGCATGATCATCATCATTCATCATCTTTACTATGATTCCGTTTCCCGTCATCTCGCACATTGTCTTGGCCTTTTGCTCGAAACTTTCGTTGCCTATAACAATTTCAGGGGGACAACAGAAGCTTTACAAACTTCCGAAATTCCGTACAGAGCTTGACATAAACTTTTCACGGGTGTTTCTGAGTCACTGCCATTATTCGGAGATAAAATCAGCGAATTCCACTTTGTTCTATACGTTCGAAATTTTTCGTTCGCTTATTAGCTTTATTACATGATTGTTGGTTCTTAGATAAGGTATTTTTACTGTTTTATTCAGGCTTAGATTTTGTTGACCTGGATGGATATTAGGCTGTACGTATGGTAGTAAATATTTTAGGGGGGCAATAAAAATTAACTACATAAAGTAACTTAAGTAGTTCAAAGCTTTTGTCAAGCCAAAAATGAGGAGCTTATAATTTCGAGTCTTCGTTTTGCTTTTTAAGCTACGTTGGAGATAGCAGTTATTTTAAATTGCTAATGTAATTGTGTTGTAATGTAAAATTGTTAGATTCTTCTATAATATCGTTGACTTTTTTTTATTATATATGAGGAAGAGGCTGGTTCCATAGTGTTTTTAAAAGGATGACGTCAGCATTGCTGACGCCAATCTCTTCAACATTATCATTGTGTTCCATAGTGACAGTAATTAAGACTCACTTTTCCAATGGATGCCATTTTTTACATTTCAAATGTACAATGATAAAAACAGATAGCTCCACCTCAGTCGGCTGCTCGAGTCGGAATGTTTTGTGCGACAATAGTCACACGTATTTATAGTAGAAAGTGAGAGTAGCTTAGTCATGAATTCTCTTGAATATCATCTTAAACAGTTGTTGAAATGCGTAGCATTAAGGAAAGGATGAACTTTAACTATTTTTAGCTAGCTAAATAGTGATGTTGCCTCAACACATATATTGCCATACATTATTATAGTACTATTTCAAATATGTATTATATTATTAGCCGCTTTTTGTTTTTGTGTAGTTACAGCGAACAGTGCAGAGAAATAACGGAAGTAGAGAAACTGCTGTGGGTCAATGTGTGGTGCGACCGTCTTAATGAGCCACGTGGCCAGTCGTGCGGCGTCTGCAATTTATCAATGTCGGGTATTCCCGGCCAGCGTGATCGTGGCGCGCAATGGAAACGCATTATTTTTGATGTGAAACCTTCTTTAGCATGATGAAACGAAAAAGAGACAGGCACATAAATTCATAAGATTTAACGTGGGAGAAAATGAGATAGGAAGCATTATGCAGTGCTTCTTATATTCGTGGTTCTCTTTGTGCTTTGCTTCGTACCTAATATTCGTAATTAATGCATTCTGAATAAATCTTTGTAATATATACGAATAAATAGTAAAATAATTATCAAGCTTTATATCACTTTGATCATTACTAAAATCTATAGTTATCCTCTTCTCGAAATTTTAGATTCGTCTCATTATTTTGAAGCCAAAAATTTGCGAAGGTTTCACTACGGTACGTCGCGACGTACCTTGACTTGACAGTTCATGTACTCCACTCCGGCGAGGATAATGTTCGAAGGACACTCAAACGAGTGGAGTTTATTTTTACGATCCAGCATACCAAAACGCGCGTTGGAGGTTGAGTCGAGTCGAGTTAAGCTCGTGTGAACGACTAAAGATAGGGGGTTAGTGTTTTTCGAATTCGACGAAATTCTCCACGTAAACAAACGATTCTTACAACAGTTTTTATTTTTATGTAAAATATAAATTATAGTTTCGTACCTCGACGCGTGAGGTGACCGTCAAATTATACATTCATGGTATTAAGTTAATGGTGTATGTGAAGGCTTGTGCATGACGCAATCTTTGTACGGATTTCGCGATTTACTCCTACCCACAATTATAAAGAAAACTACATCAACTTAGTGTTTAGATACGTAATGTCAGAATTGAGAGGGCTGAATTAAAAAAAAAGGACTTAATCAACACTACAAAATAGTTATAATGCATGATCTGGAAACTGAAACTGGAACTTTCCAGTTTTACCAGGACAGGTGGGTGAGCAAAGGCTCAGCCAGGAGGAGTGGGATTTGCTAACAGCTACCCGAGCGCCTCCGAAGGAGACCTAACAACTCAAGAGCAACTGCTTCGCGAATGAATCTACTACCGGATCGGAGCCGCGACCCGCTGCGAGGATCCGGCGAGAAACTCAGCGGGCTGATTCTTAGGTTAGGTTGCAGGTCGAGCTCTTTGCCGAGTTCGACGAGTACGGTTACCGGAATCGATTTCTAAAAGCGATGACGGGCGAAAATAAGCACGAGTGCTTATGTTGCATAGCACGCAATGTAATTCATATTCAACGGTCGCGCGAGGTCAACGGCACTGAGCTGTCGCTTTGCCGCTTCACAAAATATGAAGATAACCAAACGATACATTCATTTTAGCTTGGCAGCAGTGTTTACTTCCTGATTCTCATTGATAAATAGATCTATTCCAATAATAAGAATAATTCCAATAATAGTGCGAACAACAGATTAGGTTAAGTGTAAGCTCTGTTACCCTGTCACAGCTATACTTATTTTCACATTATCTCTGTTGAGTGGATTCCCTCGCAACTCTTGTTAAATGGTTGTGCCCAAGCTCAAAGATATCGACCGACACCGCCCACATTGGGACAAGCAAAACAAAGGTCTTACCATTTTTATGTCCGTAATATCCGGTTCCCGATGAAGAACCGCTGCCGGTGGAGGAGCCCTGCGGCGGGCGCTCCTCGTCCTCGAGGGGCAAAGGCACCGGCTCCATGACGCGGCTATCACGTCAACTCACGTCACTTGTCACTTTGACATTACACACTCACAGACACTGACACTTTAGGGTTACCTGAAAAAAAAACAACAACCATTTTAGTATTTTAAGCTACACTATTCCCGAGTGACATAGGCTATAACTTTTTCTGAAAAAGTCCAATAATGTAACCCAAGGTGTAAAATTACCTAAAATGCGAAAACTATTGATGATAGAATAAAATAATGTACAACGACTTTGTAGAACACATTATTATTTACAAAAAGTGTCGCGATAGCATATGTCTAACTATTATAGTTATGCTGCAATAAGTGTACTTTTATTTAAAAAAATAAAACAACGTCAAATCTCTCTCTCTCTCTCTCTCTCTTCCCAGCTATTTATCCCACATGGTGGTGGGGTCAGCTTTCCTGACTTTACTCCTCCACTTCGCTCTGTCTTCGACATCCTCGTCAGCAACATTGCATTCTCTCTTGTCCTTCAGCACTACGTCTCTCCACCTTGTCTTGGGTCTGCCTCTGGGTCTCCGACCGGGGAGGTCGAGCAGTAGCGCCAAATTTCCGACGTAGTCAGGTGGCTTCCTTTTCACGTGACCATACGTGACGATGAAATTAAAAATCGCCTCCTAAGTCTTTACACAACGCCCCCATTTTTTTCTGGGTATCTTACCGCCCCCCATTAAGCCTACACCCCCCACAAGGGGGCGTTATCGCCCACTTTGGGAAAGACTGATATAGACAGTGGCTTATGATATTGACACTGATCGTGGTCCAAAAATACCCTCCCTAAAGTATGTTGCAATGGATATATGGAGGGAGGGACATATGGGCGCAAACGCCACTATTGGCAATATTAACATAATAATATATAGTTTGGTTTATTCTATGTTAATATTTGAGTCGACTATTATCAAAGCCGGCAATGTGACTTTTGGACAATTATTGGTAAATCAGAAAAACGAATTATTGACTTTGTATTCCATTGGCAATCACAAAACTCTTCTGAACGACATCTTAGATAAATAACAGGTTAAGTATTAACCTTTATTTAATGCAGGTTTTGAACCGTATTCTTTGAAGGAGACGATTATATTCAAATCAATCTGTATTGACATATCAATAACATTTTTTTGTCCAAATGCACAGATTGCCACCTTTGATAATAGACGACTCATTTATTTATTATTAGCAAGATGAAACTGTTATTCTACCATATTTAATTTTAATAATTAGCGGACACTGTTTTGATATGAAAATGTTCAGAATATGTTTAATGTTTATATTACTGTTTAAAAACACAAATGGCTGTATTAATAATTATATATCAATAAAGCATAAATATTAATAATAATTGATATTATATTATAATTAACAGTAATAATGTAATTAAGTATTGTAATTGTTATGCAATGATGTTGTTGGCGCCATCTATTATTAGGCTGGATAATAACAATGTTAGTTTATATTAGTTAAAAGTAATTTACGTAAAATAAATTAATGTTAGAGTCATGTAAAAATCACTAAATATGTATTGTTAATATTAAGCTATATTTTGTGAATTGTTTCGCAGTAATTACATTTGTTTGTATAAAATAATCTGTAGTTGCTATTAACCATCACAAAATGGCTAATTGTGTAAGAACTAAGACGTGGCTTTTTGTAATAAACAAGCAATGTTAAAGTTTTTTTTTTCTTTTTTTTTTATTGCTTAGATGTGTGGACGAGCTCACAACCCACCTGGTGTTAAGTGGTTACTGGAGCCCATAGACATCTATAACGTAAATGCGCCACACACCTTGAGATATAGTTCTGAGGTCTCAATATAGTCACAACGGCTACCCCACCCTTCAAACCGAAACGCATTACTGCTTCACGGCAGAAATAGGCAGAGCGGTGGTACCTATCCGCGTGGATTCACAAGAGGTCCTACCACCAGTAATTATGCAAATTATAATTTTGCGGCTTTGATTTCTATTGTACGTTATTATTCCTTCACCGTGGAAGTCAATCGTGAACATTTGTTGAGTACGTATTTCATTAGAAAAATTGGTACCCGCCTGCGGGATTCGAACACCGGTGCAATCGCTCGACACGAATGCACCGGACGTCTTATCCTTTAGGCCACGACGACTAAAGTTTTATAGAATTGTATTGTATTTTCATTGTAAAAAGATCATAGGTGTGTAAACCCTGGCGTAACGGCGACAGACACTTAAGCGTTATGTTAACGATGCGAATGCAATAATTGCATTACTGTAAGCTGGTTGCCCGGCGCTTATCTACATGTAAACACATTTATCGACTTAGACAGTAAACGATGTTTTCATTCACTTCTATAAAGCGGCACGACACGAGAACCCTCTCATCGTGGCCGCCGGTAACTACATTCCCGATCCTGCGGACAGAATGGAAAGCAGTCGACGTCGCCCAAAACACGTCATCTCGGATCCTCCCGATCCACTAACGGTGCTTTTAGGTAATTCAAGCACCGGTCACCGTTCTCGTCGAACCCGTCGCTTGCGACGAAGGGCTCGACGAGTAAATTAACTCTCAGACACAGCCCACTGAGTTTCTCGCCCTATCTTCTCAGTGGGTCCCGTTTCCGATCCGGTGGTAGATTCTGCGAAGCACGACTCTTGCTAGGGTTCGTGTTAGCAACATCGTCAGGTTTAAGCCCCGTGAGCTCACCTACTAAAGTTAGGGTTACGCTGACATAGCCGCTAGGGCTATCAGCTTAGGTAGGAATCATTTTAAGTATTATTTTTTATTTTTTTATTGCGTTTGTAGGCAGACGATAACGGAATAAGATAGATAGACGGCGATAACCTGGAAACACTTATGATCATAGGGAAAGTTGAAGGCAACAGATCTAGAGGCCGCAGCCCGACTCGTTGGTCCGATCAGATCCGCACCGCTTTGGACAGTACAGTGTACAGCGCGCTGCATGACGCCGTGGACAGGGGAAAGTGGAAAAACATCTTAAGATTGAAGCTCATGGGTGATGGTGGTCACGACCCTCAGACATGAGGAACACGACTCGAGGAGGAGGAGGCAGACGAGCGTACGGCCCACCTGATGGTGAGTGGTTACCGTCGCCCATGGACTTCAGCAATGCTAGGGGCAGAGCCAAGCCGCTGCCTACCGCTTAATACTCTCCACAAGCCTCGTTTGAAGAAGGACATGTCATAGCGCTCGGGAAACACCGTGGATGGGAGCTCATTCCATAGCCGGATGGTACGTGGCAAAAAAGACCTCTGGAAACGCACTGTTTGTCTTTTGTTATTGACATCACACAAATTTGCAAATTTAATGTTTGTAGCGATGGACAGCCTTCTTGCTCAGAGCGGTATTTTTCGTAATAGCAGAAGTCGATTATGTAATAATCGAGCTAAAATATATTTCACTAAGGTGTATTTTGGAGCCACGCGGGCACCGATCTGCTGCGTTTTTGTGTCTGAAAGCGAACTTTTGTGCATTGGCTTAGATTTATTTTTATTTTTTTATTGCTTAGATGGGTGGACGAGCTCACAGCCCACCTGGTGTTAAGTGGTTACTGGAGCCCATAGACATCTACAACGTAAATGCGCCACCCACCTCGAGATATAAGTTCTAAGGTCTCAGTATAGTTACAACGGCTGCCCCACCCTTCGAAGCGAAACGCATTACTGCTTCACGGCAGAAATAGGCAGGGCGGTGGTACCTATCCGCGCGGACTCACAAGTGGTCCTACCACCAGTGATTACGCAAATTATAATTTTGCGGGTTTGATTTTTATTACACGATGTTATTCCTTCACCGTGGAAGTCAATCGTGAACATTTGTTGAGTACGTATTTCATTACAAAAATTGGTACCCGCCTGCGGGATTCGAACACCGGTGCATCGCTTCAACACGAATGCACCGGACGTCTTATCCTTTAGGCCATAACGACTTATAACAGGTACAAGTGAGATTTAAAACTTCGATTGGAGATGACGCCACTTCAATCTACTAGAGCATTGAACACAGAGACGATAGCAATTAATAAATAATAGTTTAAAAAACTAACAAAATACGCTTTTATAGAAAATACAACTGAAAAATTGAAATTTTTTTTTAATAAATTTGAATTAAAAATAGTGTATGCAAAAATGATTTTATTGTAAAAAAAAGCGTGGTGTGCTTTTCAGGATGTTATCAAAATAACCCTTCTGCTCGTAACTGTTCATAAAATATTTTTAACTACCGATACCATTTTTTCAACTTTTTTTTTTAATTTTTTTTTTTAATATTGAATTGTCATCGGCCCTTAATAAGTATACCAAATTTCGAGTTAATCCGACGTTTTAAAGGGGATCAGAATCATGTTTTTTTTTTATTGCTTAGATGGGTGGACGAGCTCACAGCCCACCTGGTGTTAAGTGGTTACTGGAGCCCATAGACATCCACAATGTAAATGCGCCACCCACCTTGAGATATGAGTTCTAAGGTCTCAGTATAGTTACAACGGCTACCCCACCCTTCAAACCGAAACGCATTACTGCTTCACGGCGGAAATAGGCGGGGTGGTGGTACCTACCCGTGCGGACTTCCAAGAGGTCTTACCACCAGTGAAGAAGTGTTCAAAGATTCCGTTACAAACATTCATACGTCTGATGCTAATAATAAATAAAAAGCATATTAAATTCACGTTTAATACCTTCGGGCTAAAAGCGCTCTCAATACACTAGCAATCAATTTCCAGACAAACAGAATCCGAACTAGAAAATCGCTAATTAGGCCCCGGTCTCTGCTTATTATTTTCGAAATTCGAATACCGTGCAAACAGTTTAACGGTTCTGAAATTACTTTTCGATTTTCAAACTCGGAACGGTTCGCGAAAGCCGGCCGCTGCGGCGCGGTGGATTCGTTTAAATAATTCGAATTTCGAACGCTGCTTGCTAACTAACGACGGTGGAACGTGGGGTTTTTGACAGATCAAACGTACGTATTCAATAAAAAATAAGTTTACGATTTTAATTTTGTTCTGATTGCGAAACAATTGTTTCGTAAGCCTATGCTTGTGCCGCGAGTGCAATAAACTTTCGCCCTATTAAT